GAATTTCTTGCCCTTTACAGAAAATGAACTCAAACTGCCGTTTACATGAAGATTTCTGATTTGTGTTGGGTTGGGGGTGGGGACTTAACATCTGCTTCTAAAATTTTCTGGACTTGGGAACCAAATAAACATACTTGTTAGATGTTTTTCGCTTCCATAAGCATTTGTTACTTGCAATAATGAAAAACTAAGCTATTTTAGAAAAAAATGTAGATGAGTGTGGAAGGCTAGGATGAGATATTTGGATTTGGTTGTTTACATTTTGTGGTCCAGTAATTCTTTGAGAATCCTGTGACAGCTAATTGACATTTTCCTAGAGGTCTCAGGCCATCCCCCAGGTTTCATAGCATGGTGGTGGGTGAGTTCTTGTGACTTGGGGTGGTTATTTGACTGACGTTTGTGCCCGTTACTAGACCGTAGGCGTACTGTTCCCATTCAGTACCTCTGTATCATCCTGAGCTGCTAGCAGGCACCTAGTAGGCTTTCAGTAGGCATTTGTTTGATGACATTTGTGGAGCTGTTAGCTTCTTGGAGAGAAAGAGAGTTGCTAAGTTGGTCTTATGTTTTCCAGGGTCCCAAGAAGGTGGGGACGCTGTGGCGAGAGGCTGGACTCAGCTGGAAGGAATTTTTACCTGAAGGCCAGGATGTCGGTGCCTTTGTCACTGCGCAGGTTTGAAGCTGGACTTAAGTTAGCTCTAGCAGTTGGGGTCAGCCAGTCCTTTCCTCTTCCCTCATCTCACATGACACACTTACCTCCCAACTGTGGGCCTTTTTCCTTGCAGAAGGTGGAGTATACCTTGGGAGAGGAGTCAGAAGCCCCTGGCCAGAGGTTGCTGTCCTCTGAGGAGCTGAGCAAGCAGCTGGAGAAGCTGCTAAAGGAGGGCAGCACTAACCAGCGGGTGTTTGACTGGATAGAGGTATATTTCTCCTGGATATTGGGGAAGAGAGATAAAGGAGAAGGTAGTGCAAGTGAGGGCAGCAAGAATGGAGCCTTCCAGGCATAATTCAGAACTTATGGGCCATTTGTCTTTCTTCTGCACAGGCCAACGTGAATGAGCAGCAGGTAGCATCCAACACATTAGTTCGAGCTCTCATGACAACGGTCTGCTATTCTGCAATTATCTGTAAGAGGAGCCAGGGAGTTGGTGGGGCAAGGGTGGGCCCAACAGATATGGAGGGAGGGAGGTTTTGGTCTTTGTCTCCAGTTCTGAACCAGGCTGAGGGTGCATTATTCCACTTATCCCTGTCTTCCTCCCTGTAGCTGAGACTCCTCTCCGAGTGGATGTTGCGGTGCTGAAAGCGCGAGCGAAACTGCTACAGAAGTACCTATGTGACGAGCAGAAGGAGCTGCAGGCGCTCTACGCCCTCCAGGCCCTTGTAGTGACCTTAGAACAGCCCCCCAGTAAGAGCCAGGCCACAGGGATGGGGTGGGCTGGAGGAACTACCAGATAGTAGGGGCAGTTGTGGAAAGAGTCTCAATCCAGGAGAAGTGGGTGGTCACTGGAGAGCAAAATATCCTGATGGTTGAGTCCTTTCCCCTGCAACAAACATTCGTTTGTTTCCTTACCTACAAGTGCAAGACTCCGCCTTGAAGGTTAATTGACTACCTGTTTTGTGCCTAGCCAACTGTTAGATGCCAGGAGTGCAGAGGTGATAAATGGTAACGTTTCCCAAGTATCCTGTGCTCCCTCTGCCTGGTACAGGGCTGAGCTGCTTTTCTTTGCCTCAGTTAATCCTCACAACTATTGTTTAGGGTAGATGGTGTTCCCCCCTTTTCCATATTGGGAGACTGAGGCTTAGGTTAACATGCTTGAGGTTAATGCATTTAGCAAACAGGTATGTGCCAGGACATTGGGATATTAGCAGTGATTAAGTCAAGCATAGTTCCCATGTTGGCATGGAGTCAAGATGAATGTTGGAAAATGGATCCTGCAAGGGTACTCTGGGAGAATTTACCTAGTCAGAGAATGAGTGGGAATTGACACATGGGAGCTAAATGACAAGTGGGAGGGGGAGACTTGACAAGAAGGAACTGTGTGTTAAGGGAAGCTCTGAGGTAGAAAACATGATGCAAGGTAAAAACTGTTGAAGGAATACCAGTGTGGGTGGGAGAGCACAGCAACCAGTTGTATGTGAGGCAAGTTGGGTGGAGAGGTGGATGTGGCCAGGTCATGCAGGGCTGTGTAAGCCATGGGATGAGTTTTGGGCTTTAACCTAAGGATAGGAAAGGGCCTTTATGGGATTTTAAGCAAGGATTTTAAACATTCTTTTTAGTTTTTAGATCATCCTGGCCATTAGTGGGAAGAGTGTTTTGGAGTGGGGTGAATGTGAATGTGGCTGGATCAGCAGATCAGGGGTGTGTTGGTAGTGACTCAGCCTCACTGGTGGCAATGGAGATGGGAGAGGAGTGGGCAGATTCAAGACACACACTGGCCTGGGGGGCGGGTGGTGAGAGATTGGAAGACATATTTGACTCCCAGGATAGTTTCAGCAGGTGAGGTGTTAGTGGGGGGTGCCATTCACTGGGCGGTAGGGAACACTGGGTCAAGTTGAATTTGGTCATGTTGAGTTTATGGTCCTGGTCGGGGTGATCAGAGATGTCAGTCAGGTAGACAGCTGGGTATCTGATTTCATTTGGAGAGGAAGAGGTGAGGGCTGGAGGCCCATCTCTTGAACTGCTGGCACAGGGCAACACATGTGCAAGTCACAAGAGGGTATAGGATTGCCCAAGGGATACAGCCTTGAGGAGGTAGAGGTTCCACAGGTAGGGACCAAAGGAGGATAGGACCCTATGAACAAAGGACAGAGTGATTTTAGGAGAGGGAAGTGGTCAGTAATGCTAGATGCACCCGGATTCCATAGGAGCAGATCTGAAAATTAGGGCCTCTGGAGTGTGAAAACATAAGAGGCCACCCTGGCAGAAACAGTATTTGGTACAGCAGGGGGCAGGATCTGGATTGGAAAGGACAGAGTAATACCTGAATCAGGAGGAAAAGAAAACAGCAAGTGTAGACAAAAATCTTTGAATTCAACTAATCTCTTGTCAAAAGACAGATCTTTTTGGCTGTAAAGAGATAGCAGTTGTAAAGGAGCCCTTTTGTGTTTAGATGGGAGAAACTTGGGCTTGAAAATACAGGGCAGAGTGGATAATTGATTGTATAGGGTCCCCGGGATGGGTGTGCATGGGATTTGGAGAACAAGCTTGGGATAAATAATCTGTTGCTGCCATTGCTGTGGGATGGGGGTGGGAGGCTGTCCGTAGGCAGCGGTTGTGGATCTGAGGGTGTGCATGTAGGTTTCTGAGTTTTGGCCAAGTGACTCACTCTTGCACATCAGTCTCTTAGATCATGAGATAAGCATCCTGTCAGAGACATAGTTACTCTGGAATGGCCAGACACACAAATGTCAGCACGGTGGGTCAGGGCCTTGTCTCAGCAGTGGAGCTTAGGGGAGGGATCCCTGGGAGGGGGGATGGAGTGGTTGTGGGCAGCATGCCTGTAACTGCTGTCCTGCCTGCTTGCAGACCTGCTTCGGATGTTCTTTGATGCGCTGTACGATGAGGACGTGGTGAAGGAGGACGCCTTCTATAGTTGGGAGAGTAGCAAGGACCCCGCTGAACAGCAGGGCAAGGGTGTGGCCCTTAAATCTGTCACAGCTTTCTTCAAGTGGCTTCGTGAGGCCGAGGAGGAGGAGTCTGACCACAACTGAGGGTGGGTGGGGCCGGGGACTTGGAGCCCCATGGACACTCGGATGGCCAAGCCAGCCGCCCGGACTGCAAGGGGGGTGGCAGCAGCGGCAGCGGCAGTGGCAGTGGGTGCCTGTAGTGCGATGTCTGAGTTAATAAAGTGGCTGAAGAGGCAGGATGGCTTGGGGCTGCTTGGGGCTCCCCTCCAGGATGCTGCCAGGTGTCCCTCTCCTCCCCCTGGGGCACAGAGATATATATAAAGTCTTGAAATTTGGTGTGTCTTGGGGGGGGGGGCACCACTGCCTGCCCCTGGTCCTTTTTTATTTTCTGAAAAATCACTCTTGGGACTGCCGTCCTCGCTGCTGGGGGCATACGCCCCAGCCCCTGCACCACCCCTGCTGCTGCCTGGGCAGGGGGAAGGGGGGGCACGGTGCCTGTAATTATTAAACATGAATTCAATTAAGCTCACTGCCTCTCTGCTTTATGGCCTGCTCCCTCTGGAGAAGGGGTCTGGGTAGGTGGGCAGCCTCCTTTCCAGAGCTGGCACTGTAGCACTGTTCTCTGTAACTTGGCACCCCTCTTGCCTCTTCCCCTGTCCATGATCGGGAGGGCTAGGGAGTCTTTCCTGGAGGGTTGGCCTTCAAAGTGGACATGGTAAGGCTCACTGTTGATTAGGAGGGGAGAAGGGGGACACAGCTGTGGGTACTTCATAGAACACACTTGCCTGTCTCGGCTCCTACCAGAATGTGATGCAGACTCCTGTGTGTGAAGGCCCTGGGTTTCAGGCCGTCTATAGCTGAAACCTATGGTTTGAAGGTCTCATCTTGAAAAGAGGAGAACCCTGGACACAATGAGGTTTTCTGTCCCCATGCAGTATGCCCGGTAGCACGGGCCCAGTGAGTCTTTGTCCGTGCCCCGTCCCTTCGGTTCCCACCCCTCCTGCCTTCAGGTCACTCCGCAGTCGGGTCTGGGAGCAGAGGACGAGCTTTTCTCGCCGGACTCGGCCCCAGACCCCATCTGTGTGGCTGTGACGTCCGCTTCGCCCCGCCCGCTTTGGGTGGTGACGCGGGGGTGGACACGCCCCCGCGCTTACGTCACCAGCCCGGTTCCCTCTCCCGGGAGCGTTGGCGGACGCGCGGCTCCCACCCCCTCCCCTCTCACGGGCTCTCCCCTCCCCGGTGGCGGCCGCGGCCCGACCCTCTGCAAGGCGATGGCCCGGGCCCCGAGCGCGGGCTAGCGTGCCTGGGTGCCCGGCCATGGGCTGTATCGGCTCTCGGAGCCCGGCGGGTCAGGGTAAGAGGCGGAGGCCGGGCCGGTGCTGGGGAGTCTGGCTGCGGCTGCCCGGTGCGCGGGCCGCGGGGCGGGGGGGGCCTTGAGGAGGGGGCTGGTGTTGGGAGAGGGAGGAGCCTGCACTGGGGAGGCGGGCCCGGCAAGAGGAGGGAGCGGGCCGAGCCGGGAGGGGGCTTAGCCGACTCGGGCTCGCTCCTAAAGGCCTGCTGCCTGCCTCTGGGCTTTGCGGGGTGGACTCGTGGGCTTTCCGCCTGACTCCCCACCGCTGAGGGTGGCAGGAGGCGCACAGCCTAGAGAGGGACTGGTCAACCCTCTCCAGCCCGTGGCGACTGGCCTTGCACGCCCACTCACGATTACCCCCCTCTGCCTACATCTCTCCTCTCACTGTCCTGGGAGTGGCCCTGTGCTGGGAACCTGCCTCTCCGAGCTGTGTCCCAACCCCCTTCAGGAGGTAGTCTGGAAACGCTGGCCATGCTCCCTACCACGGAGTTTTTGACTAAACTTGTTACCTGCTTTAGAGTCTGCAGGTTGATGAAGTGGACCGCGGCCCCATTTGGGGGCACCTGTGAGCACCTGATCACCTCTCACCTCTTAAAACTGTTTTAGTTCCCTTACCCCACTCCCAACGGAAACAAAAATCACCCTACCCTGTGGAGGGAAACAGGAGCCCAAGGGAGGCTATCAAGGCATCCTTCCCACAACTGCTGATCCCTGCTTGGGCCTTGGTTCCCACAGATGGTGGTGCACGCTGGGGCCTGGCCGTAGTTCTAGTGTCTGAGGTGGGCCAGCCTGCTTAACTCCAGTGTCATGGATTTCTCCATGTCTTAGGCCAGGCAGGAGCTTGTGACATTGAGGGCTGGGTTTGGAATGGGTCCTGGGCTTTCAGGGCAGGTGGTCAGTCACACAGGCCTTAGTATGTGTGGTACTTGAGGTTCTTTGGAGCTAAGACTCTAGCTGAGATTTGTACTTTACTTGGGTTCACATGAGGAATTCTGGGATTTGTAGTCCTAAATTAATCTCATGACTTTTGAAGCTGAGAAGCAGCAGGCTGCTCTGATTCCTCTGGCCCTGCTAAGGCTTAGAGTTCAGGAAGCCATCCCTCCTTTAGTCAGGAGAGTTTGGCTGACCTCATGACTAGCCTCAAGAGCCCTGATTAGGTACCAGCTGGCAGCCAGGGATGGCCTGTAACCTTGTGTCTTCCTTCTGGTTGGTAGCATTTCTGGGGACCACCAGCTGGCTGAGGCTCAGGGACAGAGACGGCTGCTCCAGCTAAAGGTCAGTTGTTATGTACATTGCCTGTTGGCACTGTCTAGGGGATGAGCCTCATCTCCCTGAGCTCCAGAGAGCTCAGCTGGGCCCTGGCACTCCCACCTCCTCAAAGCCATGAGGCAGAAGTGTTCTCCTTATGTGACTAGGCACAGGTTCCAAGTGGGGAGGGGACTGGCTCAGCATCCGGAGCCAAAATAGGAACAGAACTGGGAGCTGAGCCTGGAGCAGTTCTGGGCTTTTGGTTCTCTGCATCAACACAGCCAGCATGCCTATGATTTCTGTGCTGGGCAAAATGTTTCTGTGGCAGCGTGAAGGGCCTGGAGGACGATGGACTTGTCAGACAAGTCGCAGAGGTGAGATCAGGGACGCAGATGTGATTTGGGAGGTGATGGGAAGCTGAGGAATAGGATGCTTATGTGGCAAGAGGAAAATTACTCTGGCTTAGATTTTGGGAACCAGGCTGAAATAGGAGCAACCAAGTTGGGGCCAAACAGGGCATTAAGAAAAAGCCTTAGGGGACTGGGGCGAAAGTCAGAAAAAATCACGGGTTTGTCAGAAAAGAATAGTAAAGGGCTGCGCACAAGCTGTGGCTGGCGAGAGGAAGGAACCAGAGCAAGCCTGTAAAGGGTCCAAGTTGTTGGTGGTGATGGTGGTGGAAGACTGTGGTGTGCTTTCCAAGAGGAATGGGTAGGCTGAGAAACCTGAGAAAATTCCGAATTTATCAAAGATTAGGTTTCATACCTAGGGCTTTGATGACACGATATATCTTGAGGAGGATGGTGAGGAGTGGCTGCCACCAAAGGGCCCCCGGAGGCCTGAAGTTCAGGGCTGTGGGATGGGGGCTTTCAGACTTGCGGAGCGCTCCAGGTGGATGCTTATATTCTGGGAGGTGGGGGAGGTGGTATGGAGAAATGGAACGGCAACCCCGGATGAAAATGGGGATCTCGGCAGAAGTGCGAGCCCCGCTGAAAAGCCTTCCCCCCACCCCTCAGTGGCCTCGGATCCGGCGTGGGCTGTGGAGTGGATCGAACTTCCTCGGGGCCTCTCTCTATCTTCCTTGGGATCTGCTCGGACCCTCCGAGGCTGGAGCCGGTCCTCCCGTCCTTCCTCAGTGGACAGCCAGGACTTGCCAGAGGTGCTGGGCCCCTGGTTTTGGTAGTGGGGAGGGTGTGCCGCACCCCGCTTCGCCAGCCTACTCCTGGCTCCCTTTTCCTGCGAGCGAGCGGAGGCGCTATCCGGCCGGCGGGGCCCCAAGGCCGCCCCCATGCCGGTCTGCTCTGCTTGGCGCTGTGCCAGCGGGCGGGCTTTCTTGCGCCTTGGGCCCTGACGTCAGCGCATCCCGGGCCGTATCCCTGGAGACCCTGTTGCATGGTGATGGGTTGCCAGGGAGACATACACCTTTTCTCTGGGCCTGGGCCGCAGCTGCGTGAGCGCAGGCAAGGATGGCGGTGGCTGGGGGGAGTGATGGGTGGGAGGGGGGCGAGTCAGGAAACACCCACCAGGTGCTCCTCCCCCCAGGCCTGGCCAGAAGCTGCCGGCACCACCCTGGGGGCGCTGTCAGCCAGGTACTGAAGGGGAGGGACAGGGTGGGCCTGAGGTCAAGGGGCAGGTGGAGTCCCTCTTCTGAGGGGTGGGAACGTAACGGAGGAGAGCTAGGCAATGCCGAGGAGGGGGTGTGTGCCTCTGACTTCATTCATTCATTGAGGGAAACGTTTCCCCGGGCTGCCAAGGGGCGCTGAGCCAGGGGTAGGGTGGAGGTAGGAACCCAGGTGAATCAGACTCAGGCTTTGCCATCCCAAGATCCCTCAGGAGAGATGCAAGGGCATCGCTGAGGTGGGGCTGCAGGCATGCAAGAGGACAGAGAGAGAAACTGGACTGAAAACGTAATGGGAGGTGGCACTTGAGGGTCAGGCCTTAAATGGTAGGGAGCATTTTGTCAGGCAAGGATGGCATTCTTCGCCCAGGGGAAAGCTGCGTTCCTTTGCCTGGAGGGAAGGTGGGGAAGTGGACTTTTACTGGGCAGAGGAGATCAGTGGTGGATTCCAAGCAGGCCTGGAAGGAGGCCGGGGCCTCACGGAGTGGGTTCCTTCAGTGCCTGACTGTGAAGCTTGCGCTTCACTGGGCCTTGGAGGAGTCCAGGAAAGATTTTAAATAGGGACATATTGTGAGCAGTTGCACTCCAGGAAAATTATTTGTTTACATTTATACTTTGCCTCATTCATTCAGCCTATGTATTTTGAGCGATTACTGTGTACCAGGCGCTATGTTAAACACAAGGGTGCAGCAGTGACCAAGAGAGACCAAATTCCTCAAAGAGCTAAAGATCAACAAGAAATAAGGAAACACAGGAAATAGACCATAATGACACACACGGGGTACGTCGATTGAGGATGGTGGCTTGTTACAGACTACAGAGGGAGGATGGACTACTGGTAGGGTGGCCAGGAAGGCCCTCTGAGAGAGTAATATTTCAGCCAAGACCCCAAAGATGAGAAAGAGCCAGACAGTCATGGGAAGGGGGGAGGGGAACACTTACATACACAACATTCTGGGCTGAGAAAACAGTGTGTTCCAAGTCTCAGCGTGAGTTGGAACTTGGGGGACCACCACTTGTGCTAATCTGGGCAAGGGGCACTGAGGGCTTGCCCTTGAGGAAGGGCAGTGGCAGTGGGAGTGGAATGGTTGAGGGTACTATAAGAGACAGTTTGGCGATGGAATCATTAGGTCTTAACACCAGATACGGGTAAGCAAGATAGGGGAGAGCTGAGGTTTGGAGCCAGGCTGAATGGGCGAATGGTGGGGTGATGCAAAGTCAGGAAGTCTGGAAGCAGGGCCAGATATGGGGAGAAGGTGTTGGGCTTGGTTTTGGTCATGCTGTAGGCTCTAGAAACAGCTAGAATGGGGGTTAGAAGACTGAGAGGAGGAGAGGGGCAAGGGAGAGAGGACCTGAAGGGAAGTCCCTCTTCCCATACCCTTGTCCCCTCCTCTTTGCTCTTCTCAAAGGCCCCACTCCGTTTACTTGCCAACCTGCTTCCCTCCCCTCTGCAAGCTGGGACGGTGGAGGGTTAGCTGCAGTTCTGCTTCTTTGGGCCTGACGGAGTCTCTGTTGCTCCCTGGGAGGACACAGTTTGCTGATCCTGGCTTCTTACCCTCTTACATATCCCAGCAGCCACTGGGACATCTGAGATGCTCTCGCATCTCTTCTCGGCTCCCACATCCGCTTGATGCCTTGGGTGGAGTACGGGCATCTGGGGGACACTGCTGTCAGAGGGGCACTCACCCTCTGATGCTGTCACCCAAGGTGAATGTTGGAGACACAGTCGCGATGCTGCCCAAGTCCCGAAGAGCCCTAACTATCCAGGAGATTGCTGCGCTGGCCAGATCCTCCCTGCATGGTATGCACCCTCTCCCGTGCCTCTGGCCATTTGGTCCTTTCTTTGCCCTTTTGCACATGCCCTTGGGGACTGGATCCTGTGAGCTCTTGCTGGGATCTCCCTTTTCCTCTCTTTCTCAGATGAATCCCAGCCTCCTCCTCCCACCCAAGGGCACATGTGGACCCTACCACTTCCCTCCCAGATGCTCCCTGGTCTTTCCCCTTACCAGCTTTCCTCACTCTGGCCCACCTTCAGGTATTTCCCAGGTAGTGAAGGACCACGTGACCAAGCCCACTGCCATGGCCCAGGGCCGAGTGGCTCACCTCATTGAGTGGAAGGGCTGGAGCAAGCCAAGTGACTCGCCCGCTGCCCTAGAATCAGCCTTTTCCTCCTATTCAGACCTCAGTGAGGGTGAACAAGAGGCTCGCTTTGCAGCAGGTGGGTTTATCAGGGATGCTCGTGTGCCTCTCCTTGGGCCTGATGTGGGGGTTGGAGTCTTTCTACACCCCTGTGTCTACCCTCTCCTGTGTCCAAGCTGAGCCCTAGTCTTAGTTCATCCTCTCTGCTAAACGAATTCTGTGTCCTTCCTCTCAGGAGTGGCCGAGCAATTCGCCATTGCAGAAGCCAAGCTCCGGGCATGGTCATCAGTGGATGGGGAGGACTCCACCGATGAATCCTATGATGAGGACTTCGCTGGGGGAACTGACTCAGGTGAGGGGACATCCCATTGCTAGTGCTGCCAGCTGGGCTGGAACTGCCTGATAGGCCTTGTGATTCAGAGCTTGGCCTTTGTTTTGGAAGGGGAGATCCAGAATGTCCTCAAGCTGTGGAAGGGGAGAGGAGAGGGACAGACTCTGTCCAGGCAGTCCTTGACATTCAAGGGGCAGGTGGGCTATCTACGCTTGTGGGTGGGCAGTCAGCAGTTGGAAATGGAGTGGTTCCTCTTTCACAGGTGCTGAGCCTTCTCTGCCTGTCTGTGCAGTTGGGCTTTGCAGTCCTGAAAAAAAAAAAGGCCCAGGGCTTCCCTGGTGGCGCAGTGGTTGAGAGTCTGCCTGCCGATGCAGGGGACACGGGTTCGTGCCCCGGTCTGGGAAGATCCCACATGCCGCGGAGCGGCTAGGCCCGTGAGCCATGGCCGCTGAGCCTGCGCATCCGGAGCCTGCGCTCCACAATGGGAGAGGCCACAACAGTGAGAGGCCCGCGTACCGAAAAAAAAAAAAAAAAAAAAATAGGCCCAGAGACCTCACTGATACGTTCTCAGCAGCTGCTCTCTGAGAGGGTCCGCTTCTGGCTGGCTGTGGCAGCGCAGAGGAGCCGCAGTGCAGCAGCACAGCTCCTCACAGGGCTGGGGCCCCAGGCAAACAGGAAGGCTTGCTGGGCCTGGACTGCCCACAGGGCCGCTGGCTCCAGCTCAGCATCCTTGCCTTCCAGCCAAGGCCTGCCTGTGGACCTTTCTCTGGGCCAGGGCATGCAGAGGGGACCCTGCGGGGGGCCGTGCAGCTGTGCAGAGGCCCTCCTTTCATCTTCCATTCTCTGAACCACATGGCTGACTTTCTCTGTAGCTTCTGGGCTCAAACCTCACAGGCCACCTTCCCCCCCCCCCTTTGCCTTTGAAGATCATTGCCTCCGCCCACCCTGACCCCTCCAGCTAATTAACAAGTTCTCCAAGGTGGGCAATACATTAGAGCAGACTGGAGACTGCTGCTGTGGTCTAGAGGGGACTGATTTGGATGCCTGAACCACAAGCGTTTTTGTTTAATTGAGTTCCAGGCTTGCTTTGACTCCTGGTATAATGATAATAACTAACATTTATCCAAGGCCACTACTAGCCTATGTGGAATCTTTGTGCAAATTAGAAAAAGGCATGTCTTTATCTGGTGGGCACAGACCCATGCTAGAGCATGTTGCTTGGTGGGTAGAGTGAGTGCTGCATTTCAGCCCTCACTCACTGCCTTGGACAGGCTCCCCTCGTGCAGTGAACAACCTGCACCATGTATGGTATCCCTGTATATTTTGTTTCATATGGTGTACCAGAGTCTGTTGTTCTCTCAAGAACCCTGTAAATTTATAACCCCCAATTCACCATTAAGGGAATCGAGGCACTGAGAGGTTAAGTGACTTGCTCCAAGTTACTCAGCTCCTGTGAGGGTGGAGCTGAGAGGATGCGGCTTCCATTCCAGGTTGGCCAATTGAAGTGGGGCTAGCAGGGCTGTCTTCTTTCTCTCCCCCTGCAGACATGACTGGGCAGCTGCCCCTGGGGCCCCACCTCCAGGACCTCTTCACCGGCCACCGATTCTCCCGGCCTATGCGCCAGGGCTCCGTGGAACCCGAGAGCGACTGCTCGCAGACCGTGTCCCCAGAGACCCTGTGCTCTAGTCTGTGCAGCCTGGAGGACGGGTTGTTGGGCTCCCCGGCCCGCCTGGCTTCCCAGCTGCTGGGCGACGAGCTGCTCCTCGCCAAACTGCCCCACAGCCGGGAAAGTGCCTTCCGCAGCCTGGGCCCATTGGAGGCCCAGGACTCGCTCTACAACTCGCCCCTCACAGAGTCCTGCCTTTCTCCTGCTGAGGAGGAGCCAGCCCCCTGCAAGGACTGCCAGCCGCTCTGCCTGCCGCCAGCGAGCAGCTGGGAACAGCAGCGGCAAGCCTCTGACGTAGCTTCTTCTGGGGTGGTGTCCTTAGACGAGGATGAGGTGGAGCCAGAGGAACAGTGACCCAAATCATGCCCGGTGGTGGCATGTGTCCCCTGGCCGCTGCTGGGGGCAGAGCCTCTGTGCCCAAGCACGGGCGAGGCTTCCAGCAGAGCTCCAAAGCCTGGAGGGCTCCTGGGAGCACTCACTCCTCCATTGTGTGTTTGCATGAAAGTGTTCAGAGGAGGCAGGGGCCAGGCTGGGGGCGCATGTCCTGCCCCCACTCCTGGGGTTTGCCGGGGGTTGCCCGGGGCCCCTGGGGCATGGCTACAGCTGTGGCAGACAGTGATGTTCATGTTCTTAAATCAAAACCACCACGTGCACATTTCCCCCTTGGGTGATGTGAACCCCTATGGGGGCAGCTGTGACTGGGCTGTGTGGGGTGGAGCGGGAGGGAGCCCTGCCTCCCCACCCCCTCCCCCTGCCTCTCCTCTGCTTCTCTCCTCACCTCCGAGTCCATGTGTAGTGCTTGACAGAATTGCCCCCGCCCGGGGTGGGGGGTGGCTCTGACCCTCCTGGAGCCTCTGGATTGAGCTGTCCCCCCAAGGGCCCCTCGCCCAGCTGGGCTCGTGCTGTGCTTCACCTGTCCATCATCTCTAAATCTTCTTTTTCCTAAAGAGGGGTCTTGGTCTGTTCTTTCAGTCGGATCTTCTCTGGGAGGCACTGGAATGATGAAGGCCTGTACTCTCGGCCCTTTCCCTGGCCCCCCTGGCGGGGTCTGGGCCCTTTCCCAGCTACTTGTAGGACATGTGGGCAGGGTCCTGGTGGCTCTCAGCCTGGGGGCTGCCCCATTCACTCAACAGTTCTCTTTAGGGTGGAGCTGGAAGACGGGATGGCTCTGGTTGCCACGGAGCCGTGATTTGGATGTTCTTCCAGAGAGGGCCACGAGGGGGCCACACAGGTGGCCGGGCAGCTGCCAGCAGGAATGGTGCCAACGAGTGACAGTCATGAGGGAGCGTCTCTCCTTGGGGAGGAAAGAGGGTAGTGCCTTTCTTGGCTGAACAAAAGGCCAAAGCTACCTTACTGGGGGACTGCGCCCCAACCAGGGTGTTGATGGCAAGCGGTGGTGGTGGCCTCTGCAGACCCTGCGTTCCACGGACAGCAGGCTCTGGAGTTTTATGGCTGTCGGGGGGGTGGGTGGCTGCTGAATGTGGAGCCTTGTAGGCTTTGGCAGGTGAGAGGGCCCAAGGTAAGAACAGGAGCCGGTGGGCACAAGCATTCTACATAGAAGTGGCTCATTAGGTGTTTATTTTGTTCTATTTAAGAATTTGTTTTATTAAATTAATATAAAAATCTTTGTAAATCTCTATGTACATCTGGTGACGGGAGGTTCCAGTATAAACCCATATTAGTTCTACCCCTTCCCTCAAAGGGGGAGCAGGGGTCCAGTGAACCCACCCCCACCCTGTCAGGGCAGTGCTGACCTTCCTGCCCTTGGAACATTTGCTGCAGGTGGGCACTGGGTCAGATTTCAGGTAGGATGAGCCAGGAGATGCTAGCACCCCAGGTCTGGAAGCGGGGCTGGAACTCCTGTTTTCCCAAGGCAGAAGGAACAGGAGAGCTGCAGGATCTGGGTCGACAGCCATGGCCACTGCCATCCCAGGCCACCCCTTGAGGGGATCACTGGCACTTGTCGTCGCTGTCAGAAGGACTGCCCTCCCGGGGGAGGCCGTGGCGGGAGCGGGGCCCCCAGAGTGCATGCACCTCAGTGGTCTCTGTGTCACTGCTGCTGGTGGCACTGTCTCGGAAGCTGGCGAGGGGCGGCCGGACTTTCACACCCTGTGCTGTGACAGAGCCCTCGATAGCCTTCCGGAGCTGGAAAGGTGAGAGGATCAGATGTGTGGACTCGGAGCTCCCTGCTCAGACTCCTCCCCAGCACTTCCCCAGGTGGCTGGACATAAGCCTCTGAGCCTTTTTGGAAGTGGAAGTGGTCACTATCATCTCACCTCCTTTAGGGTGACAATTCCAATGAGTCTGCCAATACTGGTGACGTAAGCATGGTCCACTCCCAGCAGTGAGAAGATGGTGTGAGTCTGCGGGGTGGGGAGAAAACACATTGGACTTGATGTGTGAGGGGACAGCTCTAGATTATAGGCCAGAGGGACCCAGAACAAGGTGGTGGGGGGCAGTAGAAGGGGTGAGGATGGATGGTGAGGAAGGGGACAGAACCACTGGAGGAAAAAGAACAATAGAATTTCTGTAACCAGGCCTCAGAAACTTGATAGTGGGAATCTTTATGTTGCTTACATTGATGGAGCAAGGGACAGAGGAAGGCTTCTTTGTCCCACGTTAGAAAGGAGGACAGAAGAGAGAACAACTGTTGAAATACGACATCAGATGATTGGCCAGGCACTGGGCTAGGTCTTTCCTACATTAACATTTAATTTCAGTAGTGTCCTGAGAAGTAAGTATGATACCCATTCTACAGGAGAGGCAACATGAAGGTCAGAGCTGAAGTGACTCGCTCAAGGTCACCAGGAAGAAGTGGCCTTGCAGCCCCAGCTCACTTTTCATCACATTATAGAAGGAGGAAGCACAGCACGTCATCCCATGCAGCTGTCCAATTAGTCATGGACCAAAGTTCCACACGCACCCCACTCCCCCTTAAGGGTATTGGCCCTGAATCCTCTGCCCCTAACTCACCTCTGCGGCTGATACATGCTTCCCATCGGCTCTCGGCTGGCCAGTTTTGGTACCCCTCCAATCTTGGCCTGCAGCACTCTACACCTCTCAAACAGTTTGCCTTTTCTGGGGCCCAAGTAGCATCCCGGGTCCTTTTGAGATGTAGCTTGCAGTCCAGGAGGACAACAGTCACGCCCATCCCCCCATGTTTTTCTTGCTTCGGGCCCTCCCCCCAGGTTTTCGAATGTAATCACCAGGGTTCAGAAATTGTCAGGCAGTTCCCCTTGTGCTCTAAGTGGATTTTCTTGGGCCAGATGTCTTGAAAACCACTCTACTGACTCAGCAGTTCCTGGAATTTTTGGCCCATCATTTATCGCACTGTTTTGAGTTTACTTGTAAGCGTTTTGGCTTAATATTTGAATCAAAATGGGCATTAATAACCCAGCTTCCTGAATACCACTTACTCAGAACTCACTGTTATCATCTTAACACTTTAAAAATGTTTTATTATACAGTGCTAAATTCTCCATCTAAGACATAACAGTAATTATAAAAGGAGATAGAAGTTCAGTTTTAGAATACACTTTTCTGTGCTCCTTCCATGCCTACGTCATAACTGTCATGTGGTTAGCAAGTTCCTCCTCATATCTAACTTGAATCCTATGTGCTACAAGTTATCTTTAATTTCTTCATAAGACTTCAGAGGGAAACATATCGTTATATTTCCTGTTTCAATAATCCCTTAGCCTTGCCTTATCATTTAATAATCCCTCTCAGCTTCTCCCAAGGATCCTATTAAATAGTTCCCATTGATTTTCTGTTCTCCACAATCCTAATCAGAGTGAGCTTCTGGCAGACTATATGCTTTTTAGATTTCCAAACCACTTGTCCCACTAAGCCTTACTGATTGACTTTCTGAACATCCTGGCCATTCCCCCCAACCTCCTCACCATCCTCGCCAGACAGGGCTGCAACATCCTAATGGGTTCTGCTTTCTGCCTCCCTTCCCTCCAACTTGGCTCTGTCATACTAAGAGCTTTCTCAGACTTGAGTTAGACCCCAGACTCCCCAGAATGGCCCATTAAGACCCTTCCCAAACTTGCCTCAGCCTGTCTTTCCAGCCTCAGATGCCGCCAGCCACCCCAGCTTCCAGCCTCAGATAATCACTCATCCTCTTCTGAGAACATCCATTTCTTCCACGCTTCAGCCCTTCCCTCACGACACCATCTTTTAAAGTCTCCTGTTGTTCACTTCTCAGTATAAGTAGTAGCAGTAATTCCTAACATGTATCGAATACTGACTATGTGCTGGGCACTGTTCTAAGTGCTTCACATGTTGTCAACTTTAATCCTCAGAAAAACCTATGTTGGCACAACGATCCCATTTTACAGAGAAGGAAAGTGAGGCACAGAGGCTAAGAAATGTGACAAGGTTTCGGGTTCAGCCCGCTGGCACTCTAGCTTCCCCCCTCCACCCACTGCTGCTCTGCAGGCGGCCCTGAATGAATGAGGCACTCTGATGGTACGGGGACGTACAGTGGCACAGGTTCCTAAATAGTCTCCAGTGTATTCCTCTTCCCTCTGCATGTTCCTTTCCTGGACTTCACGGGGCTACTACTTACTGACTCCTCAGGCCTACAAGGACATTTTGAATTCTCATCTTGTATGTTCTTATCACTTTCAGTTCTTTATACTTTTGTTAGTTGGTTCCTCAAAGGCTTCATTTCTTCCTCTGATTTTTAAGTTTGCAACAAACACCTACTTTGTTCTTTTTCATTTTCATTTAATTAGACACCAGGGAGCCCACCGGAGGGCCCATACTTCTTGGGCTTGGAAACAGTGAATTGACAGGGAGAGGGTCAGTTTTGCCTTCCGAAAGAATCCTGGGATTGGGGCCAGGAAATCTGGCCTCTGGGCCTGACTCTGCTATATTGACTCGGGCAAGTAACCTCCTCACTGCCTCAGCTTCCCTGTGTATTAACATGGTTAAATCCATAGGCTTTTGGGTCAGACCATCTTGGATTCCAGCCCTAGTTCTGCTACTTACTAGCTGTGTAACCTTGGCCAACCTGCTTAACCTCTCTGAATCTCAATGTCCTCATAAAAACTAGAATAGAGGGGCTTCCCTGGTGGCGCAGTGGTTGGAAGTCCGCCTGCCGATGCAGGGGACGTGGGTTCGTGCCCCAGTCTGGGAAGATCCCACGTACCGCAGGGCGGCTGGGCCCGTGAGCCATGGCCGATGAGCCTGCGTGTCCGGAGCCTGTGCTCCGCAACGGGAGAGGCCACAACAGTGAGAGGCCCGCGTACCGCCAAAAAAATAAAAAAAAAAACAAAACAAAAAAAAAAACCAAAAAAACTAGGATAGAAAAACTAGAATATCACAATACCCATCTTACAGGGTGGTTGTGAGGATTAAATTAAACATGTGAAGAGCTTAGCCCACTGCCTGGCATGTAGCAGGCACTAAAAAAAAACACGTCAGCGTTATCATCGTCATCGTGTGATGTCTGGAGATTAAGTAAGGTGATAGAAACGCTTTAGAGGTCTTAGGAAGAAAGGCTTTAAATAAAAGCCAAATGTATTATTCACAGGCCTATCTTCTTTTTTCCTTGCAATTGCACTGCAGTTCCCCACTCACCCACTCATCTTGATCCGAGGTCTTTACCCAAAGGCTTATACGTTCCTTTATTACCTTTTGCTTTTTTGTTTTTGTCCCCTGTTCTTCCTGCCCTGCTTGTCTGCACTAGGCTGGCTCTTGGGCACAGTTTGTGTCTAAGCTAGCTGCCCAAGCTGCAGACCTTGGGAAAATTCCTCCTCTTCCCCTGTCTAATGTGCTCAGAGGCTTGCACGTTAAATCTGTCAACAGTTTAGCTATACCCCCCTGGTTTTTGCCCAAGCAGCCTGCTGGGTGTGCCTGTACTCCCTGCCTTCGCTCAGAGGCTTGAAGGTGCCCAATGATGCCGGCTGCGCCATTCTTGGGGGACCCGAGGCAGTCCTGCAAAGACAGCCCCTGCCCTCTGTTAGCGTCAGCCTCACCCACCGCCAACCTGTCTGCACTCCAGTTCTCTCTGCATTTATGCAGGCCACTGTGCCCTTCTGCTGAGCTATCTTCCTGTGTCTCTACCAGTTTTCCTTTGGCCTACACTGAGTCAGACTTTCTGGGGTCTGACATTCCAAGCCCCCCACTAGGCACTTCTCATCTTTGTTTATCTCGTCTCTGCAGTGTCCCCAATCCTACTTGGATGTTTGTTCGCTTGTTTATTAGATTTTCTTATCCTGCCTATTTCTCACCCATTTTTTTCAGCGTGGGTGTATCAGCCTTGTCAGGCGCTGGCAGCCTCCTGCCTAGCTCTGACTCTAGAAGGTCAGAGGCCTTCTGGCTTCCACCCAGCTCCAGCCCTGTCTTTGTTGCCGCTTTGGTCCAGAGTTCCCTGGGGGCAAGGCTGAGCAGAAGAAAAATGATGCTTGGCTTCACCATAGGCAGGAAGAGGCTAAGGGGCCCCGCTCCTGGCCTCCCATCGTTTGAAGCAATGTGTTTGAAAAACATCTTAGCACAGAGCCCACTCTCTCCTGTCTCTTTTTCCCCCACTGGCTTGAGTCCAAACTTGTGGGAGGACTTAGCTCCCCACCCTGTGCTCCTGAGAGCCCAGGCGGCCCCGGGCCTCTGGCCCTACCTTGTGCAAAGAGG